TTTTAATTTTTTTTTTTTTTGGAGAGATTTTCACTATAGGGCGCGTGCGCTCGCCAGACAGACAGAGAGAGACATTAGAGACAGAAAGCGAGAAATCACCCCCCAGGGGGGATGGTCACACCGCAATCCCTTCTCCATTCTCCTCTCGGGATCTTGGGCACGCACGCACACGCGCCCGGCGTGAGTTTTAAGCCACCGGGTCCAGGACGCGAACCGCGGTTGACTACGTGGGAGTCCAGCGACATAGCCATTACGCTAACTGCTGGTTCCCAATGTTTTTTTTTTTTTTTTTTCCGTGGAGGTCATATTTCCTGATCAAGCCTGGGCTCTCGAGTCAGACTGTCTAGATGAATTTCTGGGCCTACCAACCGCAACTGTATCATTTAGACTGGGTACTTATTCTCTGAGTCTTGATTTACTTTTCCAAAAAATGGAGGTAATCTTAGTATCTACTTTATGGGGGTTATTTTGAGAATTAAATGATCTTATATTTCAAAGGTCAAGTCAATTCTGACAGATTTTTCAACATGAGCAACCTAAAAAAAGGAGTTGTCATTCACTGAGGTGGAAAAGATTCTGGAAGAGCAGATTAGGAGAAGAAGATTAGCAGATCAATTTTGGCATGTTGAAACCCAGATGGAAATCTCAGAAAAGGAATTAAATAGCCTTCTCTATTCTTGTTCATGTAGTGTAAGTTCAGACTTGCATTTAAAACATCCCATTACATTTCTAAGTGCTAAATTACTGAGTTTAGACAAGAATATATCAAATGCTTAAATAATGAAAAGATTATCTTAAAGATTAACTGCTCAATATGTATTAGCTTCAACCTTCAACCTTTCTTAATTTCTGTAATGTATTTATTTCTTCCCAACTTCTGTCTCCCAGTTACATCCTCTGCTCTTTCAATCTGCTGCTTATGTAAATCTATTTTTATCTTTCATCATGGTCTCTCCACATTGTCCTAAATCATAGAGATCAGATTTTTGAAAAAGATTCACCAAGATTTTTGTACTAGTCGGTTTCCCAGTGTGCTCTGAGGCAGACAAGTACAGAGACTCAGCCCCACATATTCCCATTACTCAAAGCATATCTACTTTAAAGACCAAGCAGGAAAAAAATAAGAATGAGGCTGAATGAGCTGCTAAGATGCTCAAATTTAAAGTTACAATGTGAACGTAAGAATAAATGCTGGGACCAGCAGATGGTGTGAGGGATACATTGCTGGACTCCCATATGGCCAACTGCAGTTCGCATCCTGGACCTAATGACTTGAAACTCATGCCGGGTATGTGTGCACGCGTGCAGAAAATCCTGAGAGGAGAATGGAGAAGAAGGGATTACAGCATGGCCATCCCCCCTGGGAGATAATTTCTTGCTTTCTGTTTCTTTGTCTCTTTGGTGAGCGCATGCACCCTTATAGCAAAAATATTTCTTAAAAAAAAAAAAAAAGAAGATATAAAAACAGAAGACTCTATATGCTGGTGTCCATTCCTTGTTTGGGTTAGCAAGAAGATGATGTAGAGGGCACCTTTGCTTGGGAAGTGGAGGTGATCAGCAACAATCCTATGTGAAGGTTTGCCCCACTGCCAAGCCAAATGATCAATTAAGTAGGCTCCTGTTTTCAGTCTTTATTCCCTACCCCCTATATAGGAAAAGCTTTTAACCTGAGATTTATAGGGCATCATAGATAAATGTACATGTGTGTATACTTTTTCCCTTAGTGTCTGTAAGGACCATGAGACTTCACAATGTATCTATGACTCAGAAAGTTTAAAGAAACACTGCCATAAAGAGTCCCGATACTTTGCTTTTTAAGATTACCTAGGTAAATAACCTTTATTTTACCATTCTGTGTTTGGTGTTAAGTCCAGTAGACAAGCCCTCTCAGTAAAGACACTAATAGGATGAAAGGGTACTTGGACAGCAAATGTGTAGAGCTAAGATCACAAACAACTGGGCAGCTTTTTCCATTGACAAAGTGGTTTGACGTTTAATTGAGGCACTAACTTTTTCCATTGGTGCTGATGCTTAATTCCTAATTATTACATGGATAAATATGAATTTTCACCAAGAACAGTGCCAGCAAAACAGACGTGTGTTCTGAATCTCATTCTCCAGCTATATTGAGCTCTAGACTTGTTCTCTGTGAGTTACAAATAATGACCAGCAGTGTGGAAAAAAGTTGTACTTTTGGGAACCAGCAGTTAGCATAATGGCTATGTCGCTGGACTCCCACGTAGTCAACCGCGGTTCGCGTCCCGGACCCGGTGGCTTAAAACTCACACCGGGCGCGTGTGCGTGCATGCCCAAGATCTCTAGAGGAGAATGGAGGAGAAGGGATTGTGGTGTGACCATCCCCCCTGGGGGGTGATTTCTCGCTTTCTGTCTCTATGTCTCTCTCTCTCTCTGGTGAGCACACGCGCCCTATAGCGAAAAACCTCTCCAAAAAAAAAAAAGTTGTACTTTTCATGACCATCTGTTTTCTCTCCTCCTGGTAAGATCAGGTAGAATTGGCTACCCATCCTGATTTCTCTTTACTTTTCACCTTGGTTTGGTCGTTTTATAGTTCCCATTAATTGACACAATTTTCATTTTAACGAACATAAGGATTTACCTAGAAAGCTATTTATAGTTCTAGATACGGCATTAGAAAGGATTGTGTCCAAATCTGGATAGGAGTTTAGATGCTTTTAAAAAGCTGGAATGATAATCACAAAATCTGAGCAAAGAAGTCTGACTTGTTCAATTGAAGGTTTTTGTTTTGTTTTTTAAAATATTCTCACATAGCAGGTTATCAGCTGGCCCACTTTAAACATCCACAGCAAGGATGTTTCAGAAAACTAACAAGAAATTTAATAAAATGACACCTTCACTGTACCACTGAATTTTTTTAAGTGGCAATATATTAGTATGACTTGTATAAATGATGAAATTCAAAGCAGTAGTGTAAATGCCTTCACATATATGCATGAAGATAGTGACATGAAAGAATCCATCAGTGATACAAAAAATACATACAAACAAATTTTTTTCTTTGATAAATCTACAAAGTATAAAATTAAGGGTATTTACACAATTTCATACTAGATATGTGAAAAATATACCATGTTAGGACAATCTCGTTCCAAAGTTTGAAACATAATTCTTTCAAATAAAAATAGTCTTCATACAATGTATGAAGTTACCAATAACTTTCTGGGTATAAAGTTGTTCTTTATGTGATAATCAGATGAGAATTCCTCTGAATTAAATGTTGATTAGAATTTCGTTTCAACTGGTACCTAGAAGAAGACAGAAAGTTCTTTTTTAAAATTTGGTTAAGTTCTGGGACCAGCAGGTGGTGTGGTGGTTGAGGGTACTGGACTCCCACATGGTCTACTGTGGTTTGAATCCCAGACCTGGCGGCTTGCTTTCTCATTGTCCCCCTCTCTCTCTCTCACTCTGTCCCTCTCTGGTCAAATTAAAATAAATAAATATATAAATAAATAAAGTTAAATAAAAAAGTCTTTAAAATAAAAAGTTGGTTAAGTTCTGTCTATCACTTTCAGTAATCCTATTTCAGGAGCTAGAAAGTGTCAGTACCAGCAGAGGGTATAATGGCTATGTCGCTGGACACCCACGTAGTCAACTGCGGTTCAAGTCCTGGACCCGGTGGCTTAAACTTATGCTGGGTGTGCGTGTGTGTGTGTGCCCAAGATCCCGAGAGGAGAATGGAGGAGAAGGGATTGTGGCATGACCATCCCCCCAGGGGGTGATTTCTGGCTTTTTGTCTCTGTTTCTCTCTGTTGTTCTGGCGAGCGCACACACCCTAAAGCAAAAGCCTATCCAAAAAAGAAGATAAAGAAAATTAAATTAAAAAAAGAATTTAACAGTGTCATCAACACATTTTTTGTGTCTTGAATTTTAATAATAGATACCTTGCACTGCTACTTACATAACATAGAGTCATGTGATACCGTGTTGTAATGTAAGTGTGTCTTTGAAAGGCCTAATATAGCTATCAAAATAACAGTAGAATGTGTTGCAGTTTGTTTTAGGGACCGCACAAATTCCAAGGGGCTTTGTGTTGGTGAGACATATTCAGCTTTTACCCCAGTCACCCCCCAGTGGCCTATCCACAAGTGTTGGTTTATCTTCCTCTGTGATAATCAGATGAGAGTCCCTTTGAATTAAATGTTGATTAGAATTTCACAAGGAGCTGGTGTTTAGTGTTCCTCTCTTTCTTTCTCTCTCTCTTTTTCTTTCCTTTTTTTTTTTCATATTAGAAGCTCAAGTCCAGCATAGTGTGTACATTCTATTAGACAATTGGTCATAAAACTTGGATCAGAAATCAGGTTTAAATTCTGTTGCTATGCTTTGTCCAGTTCTGAACCCAGTTACTCAGGAGAAGTTTCTGTTATGAGGTTTTCATTTTAGAGGATTCAGGCAAGATGTTAGATTTGGATTTCTCTGGATTTCAGCCCTGGGAGACAAAATGCTGGTGCTCATCATCTAGGCTCTCCTATCACCTCAGATCTAGCTTACTTTCTAGAATAAAATTTTCTTTCCTTTTTCTTTTGTTTTTTTCTTTTTCTTTTTTTTGGGGGGGCGGGGGGAGAGGTTTTGGCTACAGGGCACGTGTGCTCGCCAGAAAGAGACAGAGAGACGGAAAGCGAGAAATCACCCTCTGGGGGGGGATGGCCATGCCACAATCCCTTCTCCTCCATACTCCTCTCGGGATCTCGGGCACTCATGCACATGTGCCTGGCGTGAGTTTTAAGTCACCGGGTCCAGGACTCGAACTCCGGTCAACTACATGGGAGTCCAGTGACATAGCCATTATGCCAACTGCTGGACCCTGAAATGAACTTTTCAATTTGACCTTTGCTACTTGCTATCACTCTTGCTAAAATGGTCCAGGGTTATCTTATGCTGTGCATTTCCTCATTTACAATCTATATTCCTTTTTGCTGTTCTTAAACCTTTGTTCAACTAAGAGAAATACCACAAACCACCTCCCATACTGGAAGACAATCATTAGATTCTTAGGATTTTCCATCCATTAGTCTGCTCATAAAGGACAGAGATGGTGTACTAGAGGACAGAACACAGATCTTGTCATCAGAGAGATCTTTGTTCAAGTCCTGTTATTGTCACTCAGTGTGTGGCCTTAAGCAAATTAGTTCAGTTCTCTGAGCTTGTTTTCTAATTTCCTTGTTTATAAAACAAAGATATCGGGACCAGCATTTGGTTTAATGGCTATATTGCTGGACTCCCATGTAGTCAACTGTGGTTCGAGTCCTGGACCCGGTGGCTTAAACTCATGCTGGGTACGTGTGCGTATGTGCATGCCCAAGATCTCGAGAGGAGAATGGAGGAGAAGAGATTGTGGCATGGCCATCCCCCCACCCCCGAAGGTGATTTCTTGCTTGCTTTCTCTCTGTCTCTCTCTTTCTGGTGAGTGCATGCGCCCTATAGCCAAAACCTCTCCAAACAAACAAACAAAAAACAAACAAACAAACAAACAAAAAACTGAAGATATCTTCTTTGGATACTGTTGTCAGGACTGAGATAGTGAATGTAGTTCACCTATCATGTCTAGAGTGGGAACTCATTTTGATTTGTAATTCTGCTGTTCCCCAACTATTGATAGAAACTTTGCTTTAAAAGATCCCATGTTCTAGAATGAAATGGAACTATCCAGTTAAATGATGAACAGGCAACTCAATTCTAGCAAGGAAGAAAAGAAAGTTATTGCTGGGGTAGGCTCTGTGGTGGGGACTTCCTGTGCTCCTGGGTATGAGGAAGTATGTATTACCTTCTCAGCTCAATCACTAATTCATCTGAAAAGGAAACAGCAATACCTTCTCTGCCTCCTGAATTATTACAAGGCCAGAATGAAGTCATAGTTATAAGTAGTTTGTTGAAAAATAAAAGATATGCTCTAATTGCATTAATAGAGATCTTCTAACACTATTTGCTATCCTTTTTTTTTTTGTACTGGTCTGAGTTTATTTGCCTTGAAATTGCCTATGAGATTGGTTGGCATTGTTTCAATTTTCTAGGGATGAGTCACAAAGGCTCAAATAAATGTTGGACTTATTTTTTTTTTTTTTTGGAGAGATTTTCACTGTAGGGCGTGTGCGCTCGCCAGACAGACAGAGAGAGACACAGAGACAGAAAGCGAGAAATCACCCCCCGGGGGGATGGTCACGCCGCAATCCCTTCTCCTCCATTCTCCTCTCGGGATCTTGGGCATGCACGCACACGCGCCCGGCGTGAGTTTTAAGCCACCGAGTCCGGGACACGAACCGCAGTCGACTACATGGGAGTCCAGCGACATAGCCATTACACTAACTGCTGGTTCCCTGGACTTCTTGAAGTATGCTGGAAGAGGCCTCACCACTTTTAAGTTTTTTTTTTTTTTTTGTGATGAGTGTTGAAGATTCTTACCTGACATTCCCGATGACGTAAACTTCCATTTGTATTTATGGCAAAATCAAAATCTTTCTCTTTTTTCTGAGAAAAAAAAGAGAATACATATATGGATTAGGGACAATTTTTTTTAAAATGTTAAAAACTTGAGGGATATTTAAGAAGTGCAAGTGATGGATTATACAAATGTGAAAGTCATAAAAAAGCTAGTACCTGACTGAAGTTAAACTTTGAAGTACTGTAATCTTTCTTCATTAAAATATGCAAAATGGCGTCATGGATTGTTAAGAAAAAAATTGTGTCTTTGACTTCATCGTCAAAAAATTCACACCGAGCAAGCTTTTCCATAAAATCATCTGAAGAGAGAAAAAAAATAATACTTTCAAATAAATAATTGGTCATAGATTTCTTCTTGTTAATTTGTACTACTATTAATATTTGCAGTGTTCATTTAATTGACATTTTGTTAATGTTTATGGACTGTAGTGGTAAACTACAGGTGTATCATTAGTACAATGTCTTCTGGAACTAAAGTATTAAAAAAAAATAACAATTTTGTATAGAGGAAAAAGGAAAAGTTTCCAGTGCAAAAACCTTAAGTAGGTCCTAGAAGGAAATTAATCTACTTTCACTTAGGCAGAAGCCTAGTAATCTCCTTACTTCATGATTAGAACATTAAATATGGCTTATTTATTTAGAGAGATTTTTTTGCTGTAGGGTATGTGCACTCGTTGGAGAGACAGAGATAGAAAGCAAGAAATCACCCCCCAGGGGAATGGCCTTGCAGTAATACTCTCTCCTCCACTCTTATCTTGGGATCCTGGAAGATCTGATCCACACACGCATCTGGCATGAGTCCCAAGCCACTGGCTCTAGGATTCGAACTGCTGCTGACTATGTGGGAGTCCAGCAACACAACCACTATGCCATCTGCTGGTCCCAAGTATGGTTGGTTTGTTTGTTTATTGGAGAGGTTTTTGCTATAGGGCATGTGCACTTGCCAGACAGAGAGAGACAGAGAGACAGAAAGTGAGAAATCACCCCCCAGGGGGGATGGCCACACCGCAATCTCTTCTCCTCTGTTCTCCTCTCAGGATCTTGGGCATGCATGCACACGCGCCTGGTGTGAGTTTTAAGCTACCGGGTCCGGGATACAAACCACGGTCGACTACATGGGAGTCCAGCGACATAGCCATTATGCTAACTGCTGGTCCCTGGGGGAGGGAGGGAGGGAGGGAGGGGGAGAGAGAGAGAAAAAGGGAAAGTGAGAAAGCAAGCCATAAGGTCTGGGACTCAAACCAAACATGGTTGGCCATGTGGGAGTATCTAGCACCTTAACCACCATGTCACCTGCTGGCCTCATGTATGGCTTATTTTTAAATATTGGGATTCTGGGGGCCAGCAGGTGGTGTGGTGGTTAAGGCACTGGACTCCCACATGACCAACCGGTTTGATTCCTGATCCCTGTGACTTGAAAATCACTGGGCATATGTGCATGTGTTCCCAAAATCCCAGGAGATTGGAGAACAAGGAATTGCAGTATGACCATCCCTGCTTGAGGAGGGGGATGATTTCTCACTTTCCTTCTCACTGCATCTGTATCTCTCTAGCTAGTGCATGTGCCTTATAGTAAAATCCTGGTAAAATTAAAATTTGGGATTCTGTCAAAATAGAACATATACTTAGGACCAGTGATATGCTATGGTTCTTGATTGCCAAACTTCTTAACGGTACTTAACAGTACCCCATTTACTTAACGGTAGCCCATTTACTTAACAGTACCCCATTTACTTAACGGTAGCCCATTTTCCAAAAGCTTACTGGGTTTATAAGAAAACATCTTCCTTAGCACCTCACTTATCTCTCAGTAATCTTTGAGAAATCCTATTTTTGTAGGCACTAACCAACATTTGTTTGCACAAGTCACTCAACCAAATATTACCTCCTATCTACTGTTTGCAAAGCTGTGGCTGGATATTTAGAAAGATCAAAAGACAAATTAGATCTGAATATTGTCCACAAGGAAGAGAGAAATTTATATGTAACCATAGTGCTGAAAGGATAAGTGTATAATGATGAGACGATGCAATGTAGTTTTTTGCTTTATTGTTTTAAAAATAATGTCCTGCAAATAGTAGCTCCTCACATTTTTTTATAGATGAATAACAGAGGTATAGATCATGTACTTTGGAAATTTTGAGAAAGCAGATAAAGATTGTTTCTTTTTGATGGGTAACTAGGAGAATGTGACTGAACAGTGCCTAGGATTGGGGCTAGCAGATGGCATGGTGGTTAAGATGCTGGACTCCCACACAGCAAACTATGGTTTGAGTCCCAGACCTATCATCTTGAAAATCATACCAGGCACACATGTGCATGCCCAAAAGCTCAAGAGGAGACTAGAGAAGGGATAGTGGCATGGCCATCCACCCTGGAGAGTTATTTCTCAATTTTCCTCTCTTTCTCTCTCTCCTTGTGAGTACATGTGCCCTATGGGGGGGGGGAGGTGCCTAGGATTTGGACTGGCCCGTGGTCTAATGGTTAAAGGAGCTAGATCCCATTTGGCCAACTGCTGTTAAAATACCATCCCTGGTGTCTCGCAGCAACATGCCAGGTGTAAGTGTGCCCCAAATCCCAACAGAATAGAGAAATAGAAGAGAAGGGATTGTACGTGACCACACCCCATTAGGAGGAACTCTCTCCAAATCTGTCTCTCTCTGTCTTCCTGTCTCTCTCTGGCAAGTGCATGCACCTTTTGGCAATTAAAAAAAAAAAAAAAGATACCTGGGATTTGGAGTAAGATGGAGAAAGAGCAGGAAAAAGACAGAGATGGGAAAATCTGTTCACAAGGAAGCTTTAAACATATACAGGTCCCAGGGAGATGGGAGGGCATGATGGTCACCAGAACCTGGAATGGAAACCGGTGACATGCAGTGAGAAGGAAGGCAGTGACCTCAGTTAAAGACTCAGAAGGGGACCAGCAGTTAGTGTAATGGCTATGTCTCTGGACTCCCATGTAGCCGACCGCGGTTCGAGTCCTGGACCCAGTGGCTTAAACTCACGCTGGACGCGTGTGCATGCGTGCCCAAGATCCCGAGAGGAGAATGGAGGAGAAGGGATTGCGGCGTGGCCATCCCCCTGGGGGGTAATTTCTCACTTTCTATCTCTCTGTCTCTCTCTGTCTGGCAAGCACATGCGCCCTATAGCAAAAACCTCTCCAAAAAGAAAGGAAAAGAAAAAGACTCATAAGAAAGCCGGGCAGAAGAGGCAGCAGGAACAGAATTTCAAAAAGATCTGGCATGGGGGTGGAGGAGCAGCATTCTAACCTAGTGGTTAAGGGAGCTGGATCCCACATAGCCAACTAAGGTTCAAATCCTGCCTCTCATGGTTTGAAAAAACAAGCTGATGTGTGTATCTGGGTGCCCAAAATCCCAACAGGATGGAGAAATAGTGGAGAAGGGATTATGGTGTGACTATGCCCATTGGGGGATGCTTTCTTCCTCTCCCTCTCTCTGTTTCTCTTTGGTGAGCACATGTGCCCTCTGATAATAAAAAATAAAAAAATGTAAAAGATCCAGGATGATAGGGGAGGAGTAAAATTGTTTAGTAAATTAAGGGGATACTGGGATAAGAGAATTTTTTTTTTGAGAGGTTTTTTCACTATAAGGTGCGTGTGCTCACCAGACAAAGAGAGACAGAGAGACAGAAAGCGAGAAATCACCCCCCCAAGGAGGATGGCCACACTGCAATCCCTTCTCCATTCTCCTCTCGGGATCTTGGGCATGCACGCATATGCGCCCGGCGTGAGTTTTAAGCCACCAGGTCCAGGATGCGAACCGCGGTCGACTACATGGGAGTCCAGCGACATAGCCATTATGCTAACTGCTGGTCCCAAGAGAATATTTTTAATTGTAAGAAAGCCTTGAGAGGCCAGCAGGTGGCATGGTGGTTAATGGTTCTGGACTCCCACAAGGCCAACTGCAGTTTGAGTCCTGGACCTGGTGGCTTGCTTTCTCACTTTCCCTTTCTCTCTCTCTCTTTTTTGCTCTCTCTCTGGTCAAAATTAAAATAAGTCAATAAATTTAAATTTAAAAAATTCTTTAAAAATAAGTCTTAAAACTAGAATACATGAGGGGACTTTAGAAAGTTCATGGAAAATGGATTTAAACTACAAATTTAGTTTAGTGCAAAATATTTCTAAAATCTGTGCATATTTTTCATAATAGCCATTTTCCATAAATTTTTTGAAGACCCTCTCATAGCTGTAGATTTTAGAGAAAGGAGCCAGAACTCAGATTTTAAAGGGGCTGGCAGGTGGCATATGGTGACTGAGGGTGCTGGACTCCCACATGGCTAACTGCAGTTCAAGTCCTGGACCTGGTGGCTTACTTTCTCACTTTCTCTCTCTCTCTCACTTCTCTGGTCAAATTAAAATAAATAAATAAAGTTACATAAAATAATTGTTAAAATAAAAAGAGAGAGAGAGAGACTAAAAATGCTGGTTTGGGGCCAGCAGTGAGTGTAGTGGTTAAGGTGCTCGATCCCACATGGCTGACAACAAGGTTTGAGTCCCAGATCCAGTGACGAAAAACATGCTGGGCACTGGACCAGCAGTTAGCGTAATGGCTATGTCACTGGACTCCCGCGTAGTTGACTGCGGTTTGCGTCTCGGACCCGGTGGCTTAAAACTCCCTCCAGGCACCTGTGCATGCATCCCCCAGATCCTGAGAGGAGAATGGAGGAGAAAGGATTGCGGCGTGGCCATCCCTCCTGGGGGGCGATTTCTCACTTTCTATATCTTTGTGTCTCTCCATCTCTCTGGCAAGCGCACGAGCCCTATAGCAAAAACCTCTCCGAAAAAAAAAAAACGTGCTGGGCACATATGTGTGTGTGCCAAAATCCCCAGAGGGAAATGGAAGAGAAGTGATTGCAGTGTGGCCAGTGGCCATCCCCCCCGGGGGGGGGGGGGTGGAAGCAATTTCTTATTCGCTTCACTCTGTCTTTCTCTAGCAAGTGAACACTATAACAAAAAGCTAAAAGACAAGAAAAACCCGAAAGTCCAGTTTATCCCTGCCTAAAGACCTGTATACTGGTTGTTCCAGTGAAATGCTCTCCCCTAAGATACTCTCAAGGTGGACTCTCTCCCTTCATCGCAGTCTCTGCCCAAATGACACCTTGTTGGACATCCCTGATGACCCCAAATTGCCCATCCCCATTGCTCTTTGTCTCTTTTTCATAGATCTTCTCACTTTTTTTGTTGTCGTTGTTTTGGGTTTTGCTTATGTGGTTTTTCTACAAGGTGATATGCTTCATGAGGGCAGAGACTTGTTCTATAATTGCTGTCTCCCCAGAACCCAGAATATATCAGCTGCTCAGTAAGTCTCTATTGAATATCTGTCATGTCCTAGGCATGAACAAGAAACAGAATAAGAAGATGAGCAAGCCCAGTGCCTGCCCTGGAAGAGACACAAACTCAGAACAGCAGGGTCCTGAGCTATGCGTGTGTTCTGCAGGTGCAAACATCTGAAGACTCAGTGCTCTGCCTGGGGAAGCAAGGGAGTTTTCACGGTCACTATAGGAACAATTCTTGAAGGATCTTCTGGTCAGAAAATGGGGTGACAGACCATTGTAGGCATGGAAATGGACACTGCTAGAAAGTTCTAGAGGGCCCTTAGTGAGAAATGATAAAACTAGAGTAAGATTGTGGAAATGGAGAGGAAGTGATTGACTTTAGAGGGAATATTGATAGGACCTGGTGGCTCATTGACTAAAGCAGGAAGGACAGGTGGAGAAATTAAAGATGGTTTGGAAGTTTCAACTTTGAGAAATTGGGTAATTAGTGATCCAGTGATGGAGACAGAGAGAAGGAAGAGTGTTGGTAAGGAGGGTCATATATGTCATTCTGAACGTGTGTATGGGAGGTGCCTGATGGACATCTGGACAGTTAAATACATGGGCCTGCAGCTCAGAAGAAAGAGCTGGGCTGGAAATATAGTTTAGGGGTTCATTAACATGTAGATATATTTGGAGTCATAAGCATGCAGGAGATAAAGTAGAGTTGATGAAATTAGAACTCTGGGGTTTTAGAGTGAAGTCTAGGGAAAAATGAAAGAGCAGCCAATGTTAGAAACTAAGGAGCTCTCAGAGGCAGGAGGCAAATCAGAAGAATGGCCTTGCAGAAGTCAGGGAGGGAGAGAACTTCAAAGGCACATGCTAAAGAAGGGCCAAACGCTAAAATGTGCTCCAGCAGAAAGAGGCTGAGAGGGAGACAATTAATCGTGACAATCTGGACATCACTGATAACTTCAGCGAGGGCCACCTTATCATTGTGCAATGCAAAAGCCAAGTTGCTGTGGGCTGAGGAATGCAAGGGAGAGGGAGAAGAGAGACAGAAAGCAGGAAATAGAGAGTAAAAACTGGTTAATGGACGCTTGCTGCTGATTAAATTAGGATTCAAATAGTAGTACCTATTAAATTACATACCAACAAACTAAAATAAATAGATGGCATTGCCAGAGGGATTTCTTTCTTTTCCTTTTAATGAGAGGTTTTTGCTAAAGGGCACATGTGCTTGCTGGAGAAACAGAGAAAAGCAGAGACAGCGAAAAATCACCCCCCAGGGGAATGGCCATGCCACAATTTCTTCATTCTCCTCTTGGGATTTTAGGCATGCACGCACATGTGCCTGGTGTGAGTTTAAGTCACTGGGTCCGGTACTTGAACCATAGTCGACTATGTGGGAGTCCAGTGATGTAACCATTATGCCATCTGCTGGTCCTGTCATAGGATTTCTATTCACTTGACTACAAATTCAATTTCCTCTTGATCATATAAAATACCTGTTCTTCGGAGAGGATGTTTAGATTGAGAGTAGGCAGTGAACCTGAAGTGGTTGACATATAAAATAAAAATAAAACAACTTACCATCAGTTCCAACAATATACACATCTACCTCGATTCTGATGAATTCTTGCAAAATCTGTTAAAAGAAAGTATGTCTTCCTTAGGGAACAGTTTCACTTGTCAGAAACAAAAAGAAAACAATCATAATTTTATCTTATGGGTGATGTGTTGTTTTTAGAACCTTTTACATTTACATTTTGAAAAGCTCTAATAGTACAAGGAGAAACTAAAGTTAAAAACAAAGCTCTATAACAAGAAGAAATATGCCGAAAGAAAAGATTGCTCCTCAGTACAAGGTTAAAAATGGGAGACCAGCAGGTGGTGTAGTGGTTATGTTACTGGGTTCTCACATGGCTGACCGTGGTTTGTGTCCTGGACCTGGTAGCTTGAAACTCACACCAGGTGCATGTGCATGCGTGCTGAAGATCCTAGGAGGAGAATGGAGGAGAGGGATTGAGGCATGGCCATGTCCCCTGGGGGTATCAGGGGGAGTGATTCCTCACTTTCTCTCTCACTGTCTGGTGAGTGAAAAACCTTTTTTAAAAAAGTCATTTTTGAGGAAAGGATTATGGGGACATGTTCTGCCCCAAACTCACAAGATCAACTTGGATTTAATTTAAAAATAGTAGCTTCTATGGAGTGATTTCAACTAGAACATTCTAACTACAAAAACGTAAAAAAGAAACCTAAGGCCCATAACTTTTTCATCATGCCTGCCCACAGTGACTGGATTTATCTAGTGCCAATTGATCTTTATCCATTTTTGTAGTCTCAAGGCTCAGAACAAATACCATAGGTGCATGACTAAAATTATATAAGGTAATATGTTGTGGATCAGGTTAGATGGTCATTAAATAATTAATATAAGGGATCTTTATAAAGGTCATGGAAAATGAGTATCACAAGAAAATGCCTGGATTTCAATTATTTTTGGCACCAAAAGAAACTGATACTTTAATTCAATCTTTCTATGAAACTTTTGAAGTTCCAACATGTTAGGGTTTGAACAATAGTTTCGGTCCCCCAAGGTTTTGTGTTTTGGAATTTGGATGTCTCCACAAAAAATCCATGCGTTGGAACTTGATTGCGTTGTTAAGTGAAAACTTAATTCTTTCACAGTGTCCCAGGGTGGGACGGGACTTTTGGGTGTGGTAATTAGGGTGGAGTCCTCAAGATTGAATTCTGAATGTATATAGAAAGAGAAATGAAGCAGACAGCACCCACATGGATACAGACCATACTTTGCTCTGCTAAAAGTTCTGTCTTTCAGAGCCACCAAAACTGTGAGTGAACATAAATTCCTCTTAAATTCACCCAGTCCCAGGTATTTCTATAAGAATGCAATAATGGGATGTATTTACATGTATCTACATCGTTAAGGCACTGGATCCCATATGGCCAACTCTGGGGTTCAAGTACTGGACCCAGTGGCTTGAAATACGCGCTGGGCATGAGTGTGTGCATGCCCAAAATCCTGAGAGGAGAATGGAGAAGGAATTGCAGTGTGGCCATCCCCCAGGGTGGGTGATTTCTCACTTTTCAATTCTCTGTCTTTCTGTCTCTTTCTAGCCAGTGTATGTGCCTTATGGCAAAAATCTAAAAAAAAAAAAAAAAGGAATAACGGTGTTCTCACCATCATCAATAAATACCAATAAATACTTTTAGAATCTCTGTTAGGCACCAAACTAAAAATTAAAGCTTTAAAGAAACCTAAATCCTAGTCTCTATTTTTTACTCTATAGTACTAGGATCAAAAAATTAAATATTACATGTGTATTTCTTCTCTCCAAAGCTGAAATGAACAAAAACCAAGACAGGAAAGAAAAATCAAGGAGCCTTAAGTGTTATGTAATGTTATTATTTTTTTAAAGGTGAGTTTGAAGGACTTAAATTGATTCAATTATCTAATTCTACATCCAGTTCCCCAATTAAAAAAAATTATTCATCATCATTTTTTTTTTTTTAATTTGACAGGAGAGACAGAAAGAGAGAGAGGGAAAGTAAGAAAGCAAGCCACTAGGTCTGGGACTCGAATAGCAGTCGGCCATGTGGGAGCCCAGCATCCCAGCCACCACAGCACCTGCTGGCCCCTGGTTCACCAATTCTTAATAGAGTTTACTTTTAGGTTAGTTCTTATATTTCTGTGATGCTCAAGAAAAAGAAAGGGAAACATAGAATTTCTTCTTTTTTACATATGTTTTGTTAGAAACTGATTTATTTTTTAGAGAGATTTTTGTGATAGGGCACATCAGAGAGACAGAGAGACAGAAAGCAAGAAACCACCACCCCCCCCAAGGGGGGATGGCCACACTGCAATCCCTTCTTTATTCTCCTCTCAGGATCTTGGGCATGCATGCACATGTATCTGGCATGAGTTTTAAACTGCTAGGTCTGGGACTTGAACAGCGGTTGAGTATATGGGAGTCCAGCGACATAACCATTATGCCATCTACTGGTCCTGAAATTGATTCGTTTTTAAAATACTGGCAAACTATGGAAAAACAGATCACAGCCTGATTGTTTCTGTTCTGTTTTTATGTTGCATGTGAGATTTATTTTTTCATGTATCTACAGCTTTGGGTTTTTTTTTTTTTTTAGACCTATTTTTAAGTAGCCAAATGAAATTTTATCAGCTTATAATGAATGAAAAACAAAAGAATCTACTATTTCATTTTTTTCCCAGGACCTTTCTGGATCTTCTCTGATTTCAGGATAATTTAGATTCCACATTCAGAAGGATTTGAAAACCAAAGAATTGAAATTTGATTGGTGTGACTGCAGTTCTCTATCAGCAGATTCAACATACATTACAATTTCAGATTTGGGTACCTTAAAAATTATATGCAATATCATGGCAAATGGGACTCTTCCAAAGTGTCCACTGAACATTCCCACCTTCAATGCCCCCATGAAATAGTCCAAGATTATAATTTACTCATCATTGAGGAACGTTCTTCCACAAATACATTTTTTTTAACCTTTAGTCACTAATAGCTTAGAAAAATAAATTACCGTTTTGAGACCCCTCATTGAAGAAACATCAAGGAAGGACACTGCTGAAAAATCAAGAATCAGGCTGTGGAGAGTGACTTGGGGAACTAAGACTTTGAGAGGATAAGTATTCCAGTCTATCTGGAAGGGCAAGTCCGTGGTGATTGGCTGATGCAGTTCTTCTACCTGGTTGTTGTCTACCTCTTCACTGTCGGAATCTTTAATGCCATCAGCAATACATAAAAATCCTTCCTGCAAAAGAAGGCAACCAGCCCAGTCAGGTAAATGACTAAAAAAAACTGACCATGAAAATCATGCGTGTCGCAGTTAATTAGTGAGATCCTAATGCACAGATCCAAAGTTAGGTTAAGCAATGGGACTATATACACTTGCCTTTGGCAATTTTCTCAGGCAAATAAAAAATGCTATTTAAAAATATCGACACATGAAATACCTGGTTTCTCTGGCGTTCCATTTAAAGAAACAGACCTAACACCTTACATTATATTTTATTAAGCTTTCAGCTGTGGTGCATAGCAATGTAGTCAAGAAACTTACTGGGGTCACTTGTAGCAGGCCTTCATTCAGCAGTTTTTTGATTTTCTTCAAAGTTTTATTGCGCTTGCGTAGAATTCGAAGTGGACTAAAGCCAACCTGGAAAACCAATTGCTGTGTTACAAATGCTGAATATTCTGCTATTTATATAGCATAATTCCAATACTTTAACTGAAATGGGTTGAGGGGTTAGGACATACACTAAATATTTGTGATAAAACTGTAAAGTGATTTGAACATCATCAAGACAACATTGGGTCAGACCTATGGTGTGCTTAGTCTGTCAGTTACCAACATTCAGACATCCGTACAGTCGAGGATTTATCCATACATTATCCACAAATAGATCTAAACCCTATTTTTTAAAGTATTATTTTATTTTATTTACTACTATTATTTTCGATTTGACTAGAGAGACAAAGAGACACCGAGAGAGGGAAAGTGAGAAAGCAAGTCACCAGGTCAGGGACTTGAACTGAAGTTGGCCATGTGGGAGTCCAGTGCCTTAACCACTATGCCATCTGCTGGCCCTGATCTAAACCCTATTTAAATTTGTTTGTGGTTTAGGCCTACACAACTCTTAGAGAATTTTATTGAATTTATTTTCTACTTGTTGAGTATGAATGGCACTTAATTTATATTCTGCTTCTATATCATTTTTATTCTACTAAAATTGAGATGATTATATTTTATAATACTCTTTGTTACATTATTTTATAACTTTAGAATTAATTTGGGGCTAATCTTCATTTTCCTTTTTTCAACACAAACGTGTTGTTATTGCTGCAATACTTATCTCCACAGTAACTTATGTAATAAAAATTTCTTAACAAAAAGTGTAATTTGATGAGATACAAGATTAAGTAAAAAAGGCAGTACAGAAAGTCACACATGCAGGTGGCACAGGGGTTAAGGCACTGGACTCCCACATTGCTGACTTTGGCTTTGAGTCCCAGACTCGGTGGCTCACTTTCTCACTTTGCTTCTCTTTGTCTCTCCATTGCTTTCTGGTGAGCACATGTGCCCTATAGCAAATTTAGAAAATAATAATACTAATGTTGGGTCATCAGAAAAATCATGATGTATTTTCTTTGTAAAATTGAGTCATGACTTTTCTGATGATCCAATAAATAAAATAAATAAATAATTTAAAAAAACCCATACATACAATATAATCCTATTTTTGTAAACAAAACCAAAAATATAGGCCTGTAATCCTAGCTAACTGAGGGGCTGGGGCAGGAGGGTACTGACATGGCAAGACCCTGTCAAAAATTCCTATATTTAGGGCCAAATAGTGGCAAAGCAGTAACATATGACACTATGTGAGGCTGACCCATCCGGGTCACATCTGGATTACATGTGGAGACCTCCCTGAGTATGGTAGGCATATCTGTGCCCACGAACTCAGCCTGGCTTAGACTGGAGGGGGACCATGGCATTGGGACCCTGTTGGGGGTACTGATCTATGTTTCCCACTTGCTCATGGATGAAATAAATACACCTCCTTTTCCCCCCATTTAAGAGACTTAATAAAAAAATAATAATTGAATAGAAAATATTTGATGGATACCAACACTTAATAATGGGGCTTAAGGCAAAAGCTCTATTCAAGGAATAGAGATGTCCAACAGGCATGTTTTCCGAGTGAATATTGAGCTTTTGTTTCTTTTCTTTTTCCATTTAGAGAGATTTTTGCTATAGGATGTGTGCACTCGCCAGAAAGAGAGATGGGCAGGAATTGAGAAATCACCTCCCAGGGAGGATGGCCACACTGCAGTTCCTTTTCCTCCAAGTCCTTTTCCTCCAGTTTCTTCTTGGGATTTTGGACACACACGTGCCTGCTTGAGTTTTAAGCTGCCGAATTGTGACCCAAACTGCGGTTAACTATGGGGAAATCCAGCAACATAACCATTATGCCATCTGCTGGTCCTATGAGCTTTTGTTCCTTCACCTCTAAGACTGCTGTCTTGGGCTCGCAGGTGGCTTGGTGGTTAATGTGTTGAATTCCGCTTGGCTGACTACGGTTTGAGTTCTGGACCTGGTGACTTGAAAATCACATCGGGCTTTAGTTTAGCAGGGACATCAATATTTACTGTTATAAATATTAAATGTAAAATGGTAATTGCTCCTTTGCTGTTTCTGAAGTTGTTACTCAGAGAAAATATGTAGGATAATATCTATTAAAAACCAGCAGCCCAGTGGCACAGTGGTTAAGGTGTTAGACTCCCACATGGCCGACTGTTGTTTGAATTCTAGACCCAGCAGCTCCAAACTCATGCTGGGCAAGTGTGTGTGTGTGTGTGTGTGTGTGTGTGTGTGTGTGCACGCGTGCCCAAAATCCTGAAAGGAGAATAAAGGAGAAGGGATTGTGCTGTGACAATCCACCCTGCGGATTTATCACTTTCTGTCTCTCCGTGTCTTAGGGGAGCACAGGTATCCTATAGCAAAAATTTTTCAGGAAAAAGAAAAAAAAAAGCCCAAGCATCCAAAATCTTGTGGTAACTCTTTTTACTATATGTCAGAACTTGATAAAAGGATTCTATATTAGACTTCATTTCAAGAGGCTTATTTCACAACCTAGTAGAGGATCCTTATAAGGTAGTTTTACCTGCTCTGGGACATGGAACACAAAACAATGACAAACTTAACCTCAACATATGTGAAGGCAATTTCCTTCTTATTAAAAAACACTTGATTACCAGCTATTAAGCAGCACTACAAAAAAGAAAAAAAAAATGAAATGACCCCAAACCTTACAGCAAGGATTCTATATTAGACTTCATTTCAAGAGGCTTATTTCACAACCTAGTAGAGGACTCCTTATAAGGTAGTTTTACCTGCTCTGGGACATGGAACACAAAACAATGACAAACTTAACCTCAACATATGTGAAGGCAATTTCCTTCTTATTAAAAAACACTTGATTACCAGCTATTAAGCAGCACTACAAAAAAGAAAAAAAAAATGAAATGACCCCAAACCTTACAGCATCAATAAGTTTCTGCTTAAAGAAACGAATATTTGCAAAGTAGATAGGAGATGGACATCTGAAAATTTTCACTCCTTCTGGCTCATACATCTGTAAGGCAGAGAAGCAATATTAGATGGTGCCCATTCAATTCCTGTTAATACCATTGAGCAAGTCAATGAAAAAATAGGAATGTCTCTTACATCAGAATAGTCTTTTTTATTCTTATAGATGTTGCTCCTCCCAACATTAGCTAGAGTGCTGCATTTTGGACTGTAGGGAGAAAACACCAAGTAAATCATTCATGCAAGTTTGTTAGGCCTATAGAGCTAGCAGTGATTTTCTTTTGAGCTTACTGAAGCAGGCTCACGTTTCTAAATTTGAAAGGTTGAGGAATCACCCTGGCCCCCTGGAGGGTTCGCACCCTGTTTTACTTATCTTTGTGTCCTCCCACAGCTCCTAAAACAGTACCTCCCTTCTACCCTGTTACATTTTACCAAGCACTTCCACATGCTTTCGCACTTGCTTCTGAATATCAGTTCCTCACTGAAGAGAGGCAGATATGATTATCCAGCTGTACGGGTGAGGACATGGACAGGTAAAATGACTTGCCTCTGACCAATCAGGTTTTCTCTATGATGAGGCGCCAGTCAAAAATGGAATGAAAATACAAATGAATAAACAAGTGGAGGAACAATGAAATGCCAACGTATTCTATCAGTCAAGAATGAACTTTAACTGTAAGATCAAAAAATTCTGCTCTAGATCTGTTTAGGTTTTAAGGAGCCTTATTTCTCTGTCACACCACATAAATCCAACCTAGGGCTTAGTGCTCACGTGGGGGTCATAGTCTATGGCAGAGATTTAAATATAAAAAAGATACTTGGACTGAATAACTCCTTACCAAAAAGAATTCTAAGTGGATTTTGTGGAATTTTAGGAAGAGAGGGAGGGGCCTTCAAGAAATTCTGTAATCAAGCCCCATGTCTTTAAGGTAGGAGTATGATCTAACAACTTAAGAGAGAGAGAGCCCTCTGCTAGATATGGAGAATCTCACAATGTTCTGTCACACCTTCCCACGTTTAACGAGTCTAAGGCAAAGACACTAAACCTACTTAGAAAAGAAATACTTCTGGTTTACAGCTGGGCAAACAGATTCAGATATTTGTATGATTTCCTTGAAATGGCATTGAAGCAGGAGCAGACCAGTGGCAGGCCTTCCCCCTGGGCTGAAGCTCCAAGGCTGAGTCATTCTATTGTCCTTCTATTGTCCTTCGCCCTTGAGGGAAGCAACATGAGAAAGGATACACTGGCCAGTCCTGATGGATATGCGTGCCTACCAATCAAACAACTTTTCTCTTAACTAGGGACAATTTTTTTCTCTTTTGTTTGGGCAGGCCAAAGCCTGTCAGGTGCAGAGCACAAGGAGTACTCACAACTGGGTCCTGAACACAATGGTCAGCAGTTGGAAAGCCACGCTGGCTGCTAGTCCTAACCCGAGCCCCAGGACAATGGCAAAGATGAAGGTCATGATCCAAATTAACTAGAAAAAGAAAGCAATACATACACCATAATTTACTTTGATTAAAGGACAATAACCAGAGCTATGCAACATCATACACTTCTGGGATCAAATGCAGGGACGGGAAGTTGTCATTTTGGGTGAGGGAGCAAAGTGCACAGGACACCTGTCTCAAGAGGTCATTTTTGCTGACTCAGGTTCTGAGCCACAGAAACACAAGCAAATATAAGAGGATCCAAAGAGAGAGAGAGAGTATCCATTTCTATTTCCATTCCTGAACCAGTTAAGGATATGAGATTGAGTCTATCAGTCATAGTGGAAATTCTAGAACCAGCTGCTGATGATTAAAATGAGCAAATTCATTGTGGTAAAACCTATAGTAATCTCTCACTCTTGGTCTGTTGATTTACTCAACGGCAACTATACCTACAAGACTTGTAGCATGCTAAAGGATGTTAAATTGCCCACAATTATCTGTTACGAAAAAAAGTCCACCAAGCTACTACTTCACGATTTTCCTGTACCATATGGTATGTCAACCAGTGTTTTTACACCACAGACTTTGACCCTGATAACATGATGGACTCTGCTTCTCATGGCATGGCTCTCTGAGACCCAGAAATTTAAGCTCATATGTTATGAAATGAAAAGCAGACGAAATGCATACCCTAAAATCCAGAGAATTTCTATGGCATTCAGGATGACCGCAGGAATTTTTAGAACAGATATAAGTTCTGCACTAGTGTTTCATGGAGTATTTCCTGCTTGCAAGCAGCCCATTCTTTTATATTAAAATCTCAGAAAACGATCATTAGCGTATGCAATGTAAGATAACAAATAAAATACACTAAGGTTGTTTTGAATGTATATATGGGAGCAAAGTTAACATTGTGTTTAGATTACAATTGTAGTTTAGATTATAATATAAATATACAGTTTACATCAGTATTAAAATGCCATATTGATTTATCTCTTTCCAATACCATGGCCACTACTTACACAATCATATTTATCCTTGCGCCACAATCTGCCTATTTCAGAAAACTGCATCAGCATTCCCTTTAAGTTTCCAAGTGCTAAAGCTGCCAAGACAGACTGTGAAAAACATAAACACCAGATATACTTTAAGTTAATCAAATAAACCATATATTAATAGAAGCAAAGGTGAAGGCTATAGATAAGTGAGTTCCTTAAAGAACCTTAAAGCATATCAAAGGATACACCCTTTTTTGGTGTGCGATGCTATGCAAGACACACCAGAACTGGGACTCCGACCTGTCCCTATGTGTGACTTTGTCCCCACCACAGTAACAAGGGCTGATCTGCTCTTTGTGATTATGCCATAAATAATCTGATGACACTTAATAGCCTCCACCTGGGGACAGAGAAGGCAGCTCTTAAGACCTCTGACAGATAAGGCCTGGAATAAATTCTTCCCAAGAGGAGATAGTCTACTGTGTGACAGTTTATTAGAGTTGAAGAAATGGAAGTTGCTCTTTATAAATAAATGGTTTGGGAGAACTTGAGCGTCTGTAATGAAAATTCAAATCTTTGATGATGACCAGCAGGGATGAATGCTTTGTAAGAGAAGCTAAAGACCACAGGTTAACAGTGACTCTCTGAGATGCCATGAACCAGATCTGTCTTGTTCCCTGCTCTGTCCCCAGAACTTACTATGGTGAATACATACAGGAGGGGCTTCATAATTATTTAATGAATGAATGAGTGGGTGAGCTAATGAATTAGTATTTCTCAAGACAGTCTTAACCCTCTATTGGGTTATAGGAAAGATCATGATGTATTTTTTTCTGTTTTTCTATGCAAAATTGTGTCATGACTTTTCTGACAACCCAATAGTACACAGCCTCTTTTTAGAAGCCCTGATGTTGACACCATTGAATGGTGGATTCACTCAGTGTTCTGGGTTGTAATCACAGGTCTACCACAGCAATACTTCAGACTCCCAACTCCTTACATGTCATAATGCACTAATTTGTCCTGCAGGAATTATGGTAGTTAAAGTGAAAAGTGCTGAATAGCTAAATATAAGCTCTTCCTTATTTGGATTTCAATGCAATGGAAAGAAGGAACATCCTCCTTCCTCCTCTTTCCCAATTCAAACTGTTCCATTCTGAATGGAATATGGAATTTGTGTGGTGAATGGAATACGGAATTTGCATAGAGACTACTTTCATACAAAAGCCTAGTGTATGAAGAAAAAGAAAATGGGGGAACCAGCAGTTAGCATAATGGCTATGTTGCTGGACTCCCACGTAGTCGACCGCGGTTTGTGTCCCGGACCCAGTGGCTTAAAACTCATGCCGGGCGCGTGTGCGTGCGTGCCCAAGATCCCGAGAGGAGAATGGAAGAGAAGGGATTGTGGCGTGACCATCCCCCCTGGGGGGTGATTTCTCGCTTTCTGTCTCTATGTCTCTGTCTGGCTGGCGAGCGCACGCGCCCTAAAGTGAAAATCTCTCCAAAAAAAAAGAAAAAGAAAATGGTTTTTATTTTAATATCTTGAAGATAGCTTAACTGACCCTAGTATTTTTTAAAGAATTATTTATTTAATTTATTATTTATTATTTTTTTAATTTGACCAAAGAGAGTAAGAGAGAGGGAAAGTGAACAAAACAAGCCTCTAGGTCTGGGACCTAAACCATGGCCGGCCATGTGAGAGTCCAGCATCTTAATCAACATACCACCTGCTGACTCCTGATCCAAGCAAGTATTTTTCATTTTCAAAAGTAACTTTAAATTTAATAATTCTAAGCAGATCATTTTACTTACAATGAGAATAAAAATAATTCTTTAGAAGAAAAACCATCTAAGTGACTCTAAAAAGAAAATTACACATAAATGAATGCCAGTTTAAAAAAAATGGTGAAAACAGAATAAGGCCTGTAATCTACTCATAGTCAATATTTTTTTTTGTTTGTTTGTTTTTGTTTGTTTGTTTATTTGCCTATGGCATGTCCACTCACCAGAGAGTCAGAAATAAAGTGAGATATCACCCCCTAAAGTGGATGGCCACGCTGCAATCCCTTCTCCTCCAGGTCTCCTCTCCGGATTTTGGGCATACATACACATGCACTTGGTGTGATTTTTCAAGCCCCCAGGCCTAGGACTCTAACCATGGCTGGCCATGTGGGAGTCCAATGCCATAACCAGCACGCCACACCACCTGTTGACTTCAGTATACTGATTTTGAGGTCTTTTGTTTTCTTCTTCTTCTTCTTCTTCTTCTTCTTCTTCTTCTTCTTCTTCTTTTCTTCTTCTTTTTTCTTTTTTGCTATGGGGTGCATGCACTTACCAGAGAGGATAGCCATGCTGTAATCCCTTCTCATCTGTTCTCCTCTTAGGATTTTGAGTACACACATACACACACATACACGTGCCTGGCATGTTTCAAGCCTCCAGGTTCAGGACCTGAACCACAGTTGGCTACATGGGAGTCCAGCACCATAATCACTAACCACCTGCTGGCTCCAGTGTACTGGTTTTGGTAAGGTAATTCAGGTATATGCAATGACATCATAGCAGTAGCTGGGCGAAGGGTTCACAGATTTCAGAACAATAGGCCTCCCCCTTTTGTGGGACTTTAGGGTAAGCATAAAATATATCAAATGCCCCCTGTTAGAAGAGTTTTTACATTGGGAACCAGCAGTTAGCATAATGGCTATGTTGCTGGACTCCCACGTAGTCGACTGCGGTTCGCGTCCCAGACCCGGTGGCTTAAAACTCACGCCGGGCGCGTGTGCATGTGTGCCCAAGATTCTGAGAGGAGAATGGAGGAGAAGGGATTGCGGCGTGACCATCCCCCCGGGGGGTGATTTCTCGCTTTATATCTCTATGTCTCTCTCTGTCTGTCTGGTGAGCGCACGCGCCCTATAGCGAAAACCTCTCCAAAAAAAAAAAAAAGAGTTTTTACATTGAAATGAGGTATTCCCATGTGATCAATACTTCATGGAAATATAACTTGAAATAATCTGTAATACAATACACAGAAAATAGTTTACTTCCTATAGGACACATGTGCTCATCAGAGAGACAGAAAGCAAGAAGTCACCCCCTGCCCCCTCAGGTGGAATGGCCATGCTGCAATCCATTCTCCTCCATTCTCCTCTGAGGATCTTGGGCACACACGCACACATGCCTGGCATGAGTAAAAATAGCTTACTTTTTGAAAGTAAAACATACAGAGCATTGAGGAACCATAGAAAAGAAAGAAATAATTTTACCAAGAATTTGTTATCACACTATAGTAAGGGATTAAATACATACAAAATGCTTAGAATTCTGCTGATGCCTAGTAAGCAGTCAGCAAATATTCATTATTAGCTATCCTTATGAGTTATTTTGCCATCATATGGTAAAAATAAGCCATGTAGCTACTCAGGTGAAACAAAGACATTTGTGACACAGTAGTTGAAAAAGAAGTTATCTGTGGATATTTTAAAATGGAAGGAACTTCGGTTAACATGTTGGACAACCCCCTTTATTCAAGAGAGTAGAATTTTAAACGATAATTTTTATTTAGTGTCTCCAAATGAATGTGGTTGAGGTAGAACCCAATTTTACACTTGTCAAGAAGTACAATAGGGCAGAAGTTTTCTCTGTGTAGGGGAGAGTGCATGTGCATTTATTTTTATTCAGATGGATAATCTTCTATTTGTTTAGTGCTGATTGCTGATTCCTTTCATGCCATACATTTGAAATCAGTAGTTAGGCATATGAGGAGCACATATTTTTGGCAAATAGTACCCTGTATTCTGCTTGAAGACATAGATGGCCCATGAGGCTCATTGGGATAACCGTAATGGGAGTCAAGACACCTGAGGCCAGCAGGTGGCATGGAAGTTAAGGCAGAGCGATTCAAGACTGGACCCAGCAGCTTAAAAATCACACGAGGTGTGTGTGCACACATGCCCCAAATCCCAAGAGACTAGAAGAGAAGAGATTGTGGCAAGACAATGCCCCTGGAGAGTGATTTCTTGATTTCTCTCTCTCTTTTTTTTTTTTGGAGAGGTTTTTGCTATAGGGCACATGTGCTCGCCAGAAAGACAGAGAGAGACAGAGAGACAGAAAGCGAGAAATCACCCCCTGGGGGGATGGCCGCACCACAATCCCTTCTCCTCCATTCTCCTCTGGGGATCTTGGGCACGCACGCACATGTGCCCGGTGTGAGTTTAAGCTATCGTGTCTGGGACTCGAACTGTGGTCGACTACATGGGAGTCCAGCAAGAAAGCCATTACACTAACTGTTGGTCCCATGATTTCTTGTTTTCTTTCTCTCTGGTGAGCACTCGTGCCCTATGGCAAAAAAACTAAAACAAAGAAAACTAAAAATAAATATATAAATAAAGAAAAAGAAAAAGGTAAAAAGAAAGAAAAAGGAAACCTGAGACCAAATGTATATTTCGGCTACCAACCAAACAGAAAAAAGGCCTAGATAACAACCCACAAACTGGACCGTATCATATCTCTATGTCCTCTGTAGTCAGAAGTGTGATAGAATATTTACAAATAAATAACGATATTAATAACAATAACTACTATCCTTTATCAAGTACTTAACATGTGCCAAGCCTTGACCTAAGTACTTCACATGCATTATCTCCTTTAATTTTTGCAGCATCTCTGTGTGTTGGGTACGATTTCTCTATTTTACAAACAGGGAACTTGAGGTTCAGAAAGGTTAAGTAATTTACTCCAAAACACACAGACTCTAAGTGGCATAGCCGTGATTAGAAATAGGTCTATAGGGCTCCGGAGCCACGTCTAATTCATATTAAAGTCACGAAAAACAATGAATCACCATCATCTGATTTCCTCGAAATCTTATGTTTTCCAGGGTCTGGTGGAACTTAAAACCCCAGCGCTGCAGCGCTTTACAAAACATGAAACTAACCCCACAGAATTCCAGACAGAAGAGCATGAGGTGTATGCCTGGCTGTTCACACCCATCTTGCAATCTGACAGCGTGGGTCTTGGAGTCAAACCAAATCTCTAGGAGCTGCGGGGCGTATTCCCAAGAACAGATTGTGTGACTGGTAGAGCCATGCCCTGAATTAGATAGAGACCCTGATTACCTCAACCTTTAGGAAAATCTGCACTTCAATCAGTGCATGCTGAACTGTGTGTGGTTCCATGGTGCTTGTCTGTTTAAGCATTAATTATATTCAGGGGTACACACACGCAAAGAGCAGAGCAGATAAGGTAGTTTGGGCATCTACATTCCTAACATTCATAAAATGCTGCAGGGGTGAATAAGTATTTGGGGCTCATAGAGTATTGGCTAAGAAGGGTACTTGAGAGTTTGTAATAAGTCATCGAGAAAGCCACAATGTATTTTTCTGTGTTTTTCTGTGCAAAAACGCATGGTGACTTTCCTGACAACACCTCATCTTCCCTAGTTCAGTTTGTGCTTTCAGAGGTTAAGAACCAGAGACCTCGATTTGTCAATCAAAGGAGAGAGATGTTACCCAAAGGGAGAAGGGGGTTACCTTTTGTAGTGGCTCCAGAAGAAATCCAATGCCTACGATGACAATCAGCACGATGAGAGCAGAGAAAAAGCTAGCAATCTGTGGAGGTCAAACAACACGCATCACACACTTGACTTTCGCCCCAGCTTGGATTTCTCAGTTATCAATGCTAGAAGAGCCATTGCAGGGGAGTTCTTAAAATACCTGCGTTTTGCCCCCTGTACTCTCCTGAATTTTTTTTCCCCCTGTTCCTCTCCGGAGCCGCTGATCTGGAGAGGGCGGTACTGCCTGCAAATCCTCTGAAAGCTCCAGTGACTATGTTACACAGTCCAAAGGCTAGCAACTCCTGACAGGAGAATAAGGAAAAATCTTTTTTAGAAGTGGCATTGTTGGGAGTATTGCACACAAAATAGTATTTAAAATTGTTTTAAATAGACCCAGCATAGATTATGTGCTTACCTGATTGCCATTAATTGGATAGTCGTGTTTGAGGGAATAGACGCTGGCAACGGAAAAGGCCACGGCAAAGCCAACGATTGCAATGCCGAAGGAATCTCCTATGGCGCGCGTGAAAATCATCACGTTAGGTTCAATAGGGGGCTGAAATCTAAAATAGAAATTAAGCAAGTTTGAATGCCACCTACCCTCTTGTAAACTTAGACAATTGTTGAGTGAGTCCACGGATGAACGCAATCTAGTTGTGCCTCACTTTGGAGATGCCTTATGAGAGTTTCATCCCTCTAAAAACTTCGGAATCTGCTATCTTATTGTGGGAAAGCAATGTGGCCTGAATTTGACAAGCTTGTAAATCCAGTGGTAGTGGTAAATTGAATATGATATTGTCAGTGTAACAAAATTACATTATAATATACAGGTATATCTTTATGAGCTCACTGTGAAATGTCTTTTTTGTTGTTGTTTTGCTATAGAGTGCATATGTTTGAGACACAGAGAAAGTGAGAAATCACCCTCCAGGGGGGATGTCTATCATAATCTCTTCTCCACTCTCCTCTTGGGATTTTTGGGTATGCATGCACACGCACCTGGTGTGTTTTTTAAGCTGCTGAGTCTGGACTCAAACCATGAAGCTGGTCATGTAGGATCTAGCTCTTTTAACCTCCATGCTACCTGGATGGCCCCATGAAAAATGTCTTAGATTCCATTTGTATTATTGCACTGTGTTATTGCAAAGCATCATCCACAATGCTTTCAACAGTTATCCATGGATAAAGGCTCTTTGAGCAAATAATTCTGAGACAAGAAAAGTTAAAAAAAGAAAAGTCTTCTCTCCCTTGATAACAATAACTGTTCATGGAAAGCCCCTGACAATAGATGGGCCTTGGACTCTGCCCTGCATACCATAAAACTGCTAGAATCAACGAGGGCCCCAAAAGTTTCCATTTAAAGTGCTATTGAAGGGGCCAGCTGGTGGCCTGGTGGTTAAGGCAGTGGAATTCCCACATGGCCAACTTTGTAGTTTGAGTTCCAAACCTACAGCTTGAGAAATACACCAGGCCTATGTGCATGTATGCCCAAAATCCCAAGAGGAGAATGAAAGAGAGTGAATTGCAGTGTGGCCATCCTCCCTTGGGGGGTAATTTCTCATTTCCCTCTTTCTGTCTGTCTCTGTGGGCACATGTGCCCTATAGCAAAACTAAAAAAAAAAAAAAAAGAAAGAAAGAAAGAAAGAAAAAGAAAAAGTGCTATAGTATCTGAGAAACTTTCAATTTACATGGGATAATTGTGTGATCATGCATAATGAACTTACAATAGTTCAATTATATTTACTAACTGTATTATATAAGATGCATGTATCTCCTACTCAACATCAATTTACTAAAATACTCAGCTCCTATAAACATGTATCTCTGACGTAAAACTTATTGGAAGTGAGTTGATGGACTGAACCAACTCTTTCCGAATTGCTGTTCCATGTTATGTGAATATATATGGTAATACATTTTCCACCCTAATTTTGAAGTTTTATTATCCTATACTCTCCTGCCACCATAAATTGGAAAGTTAGTTTGGTACACTGCTTCTTTTTTTTAAAAAAAATCTAATACCAGTGATATAAATTACATTTTGCATTCTGTACCATCATAACCAGACTCTATGTTTATTCTGTTGTCCTGACCTCTGAACATCATAGAGAGGTGTATTGGAGATTTATATTCTAAAAGTGTTGCCACCTGCTGGCTTGCCTGTTAGCTTTCAATATTGGACACCTCTGGAATCTCAATGTATGTTTTGTGTTTCCTTTACTGTATTAATGGCCTCTTCTTTTCAGCCAAACTATTTGCATTTAGTGTGTGAATTCACGAAATAACTTCTAAGGTGACATCCTCATTAACAAAAGATTAACCATAATGACTAATCTTTACCTTCTAGTTATAATCCATTTGCAATCAGCAGATTGCAATTTAGAATGTCCACTCTATCATTATCAAGAAAAAAGTGGAAGTATAGGAGCAGCAGGTGGCATGGTGGTTAAGGTGCTAAACTGTGGTTTGAGCCTTGAACCTGGCAGCTTGAAAATCACACTTGGTGTGTATGCGTGTTGTGCCCAAAATCCTAAGAAGAGAATGTAGGAGAAGGGATTGTGGCATGGCCATCTCCCCTGGGGGGTGATCTCTCACTTTCCCTTTCTGTCTCTCTCTCTCTGGCAAGTGCATGCACCCTATAGCAAAAACCTACTACTACTAATTTATCTATTTTTAAGTAAATAATACTGCTAAATGCTGATTTCTGAAATTCTCAGATAGTTGGTAAGCATAGGGGAAAGAGCTCTGTCAATGGGAAAACTACCTTTCTTTGGGAAGTTGGGAGAAGCTGATGCAGACTGGGGACTGGACTGACCCAGTAGTGCAGTGGTTACACATTGTGCAGAGGAAGCCGATCTCTGGTGGTCAAACCCTTTGAGTCTCAATCCCATTGGCTCATTTGCCCAGGATCCTGATGGGATTGTGATGTGACTGGGCCCTGTTGTAGGGTGTTTCTCTCCGTCTCTCTCTCCCCCGTTATGGGATTGTATATATACCCTCTGGCATTTTAAGGCATAAGCAAAATAGCATAGGGAGAAAGAAATCCTAAAAAAAAAAAAAAAAAAAAAAAGGAAAATTGGATTTCCTTTCTCAATTCACTACATGTGATGGGATAGATTTTTCAAATTCCTTGTACAAACTGGGCTTCCCCTCTTCTTGTGGTAGGAAAAGTTGCCCTGGCCTTGTTTTGAATCTGATCATGAGAAAGGACAGGGTGTGCCTGTTTGGGTGGTTCAGGCGCTGTGTGGCTATTCCTTCAGAGTCCCTTTTGAACTTTCAGAACTTGGCTCCAGTAATCTTAAACAAAGCAGTACATAGTGTTTATAGTAATTTATAGACAAGGAAATCTCGTTTTACTTGGTGCTTTTTTTTTTACGAGGAAAAGAGGTTTATTTTGCCTTTTTTTTTTTTTTTTTAAAGATGGAGTCTCACTATGTCACAATCCTCTTGCTTCAACCTCCTAAGAAGCTGGGACCACCTGTACACACCACTGTGCCTGGCCCTCAGGTTAGGTAAGGATCGAACTCAGTCCTCTCATGTGGCCTCAGCCAGCAACAATTATCAGTATGTACCTCTGCAGCTGGGCCCATTTTGCCTATTTTTAGACTTTCACTACCTTACTAAACTTTTACTTTTGTGTGAATCCTGGTCTGAAGCCTTGCTTGTCTAGTCTTTCTTTCCACAAGGAGACACTTTCTTTTCTTTTCTTTTTTTTTTTTTGTTATAGGACTCGTAAACTCACAAGAGAGAAATAGAAAGCAAGAAATAACCCCCCAGGACAGATGGCAATACCGCAATCCTTTCTACTCCATTCTCCTCTTGAGATTTTGGGCATGCATGCACATGCACCTGCTGTTATTTTAAGTTGCCAGGTCCAGGACTGGAACTGCAGTCGACTATGTGGGAGTCCAGTGCCTTAACCACTATGCCACATGCTGGTCCCAGGAGAAACTTTCTGATATTAAGAACTGTGAATCCTGGTGTTCTTTGTCACTTCTTCCTAGAAGAAGAACAGGAAGCTTTCCTGAAAGATGAGGTGCAGGGAGGGCTCTGACAAGGGATAGTACATTTCTGCCGTATATCTACTGTAACTACCACCTACTCTGTCCAGGGCTTGGAGATGCCGTCATAGAAGATGTACTTACCCCTTTTGCATAGTCCCGACTACAGACACGTTAAACCTGTGTTGGAAGTCAAAGCCATAGGACACACCCGTTGCAATCACCGTCTGCAACGTTGCAAATTGCCAAAGTTAGAATTGTGAGCTGCAACTACAAGTTTTGCTTTGAAAAAAAAAAAAATGACCAAAACTCACCTTTGAGCCTGTTAAATAAGAATCTCCAGTTCAGATTTTTTACCTTTGCTGTTAGGGGTCTGTTTAATTAAGATTTCCTACCTTGGGACTAGCAGATGGCATAATGGTAATGTCGCTGGGCTCCCATGTAGTTGGCCACGATTCGAGTCCTGGACCCTGTGGCTTAAACTCACACCGGGAACCCAGCAGTTTAAACTCATACCAGCGTGTGTGCATGAGTGCGTGAGTGCGTGCATGCCCAAAATCCCAAGAGGAGACTGGAGGAGAAGGGATTATGGCATGGCCATCTCCCCGGGGAGTGATTTCTTGCTTTCTGTCTGTCTCTCTAGCAAGTGCACGAGCCCTATAAGCAAGAATCTCTCTTAAAAAAAATTCCTATCATACTTTCATTAAACTTTTTTGTTCAGGTACAAAACTGGGTTTCCTCTGTATAGAAACAAACAGAAGTATTTCCTCCAGGGTCTCCTTCACACAGGAAAGGTATCTCTGTCATTATTATTTTTAAATAGTTTTCTTAACTTTGGGAAAACTTCACCCTCCTCATGTCAGCCACTGAGGATGCCAGAAGTCCGCCGATGCTTGTGGATTCCCTCATGGTCTGCACATGTTCCCAGGAAAACCCGGCCCCGGTCCCTCTGTGGTCCTGGTGTCTCCAAAGCTACCCTTTCTGTAACAATTGTTTTGCAATGCCTTCGTGCACATCTCATTTGGATTTTAATACTTCCTCCCACTCAACAGTCGCCTCAGTGTTCCTGGGAATTGTTGGAAATATCGATTGCATTTTACTTCAAAAATCTTTTATACTGTGAGTGCCTAAAGCTTTCCAGACTGTGAAGCTGCTCACACCAACTCCATACCACACATAATGGGAATCCCAGACCGGAGCTCACAAGGCCAGGGGAAGACCCACTTTCTGGTAAGGCGGCTGTGGCCTTATTTCTCTTACTTTTGTTTTGTTTTGTTTTCTTTGTTTGTTTGTGTTTTCTTTGGAGAGGTTTTTGCTATAGGGCGCGTGCGCTTGCCAGACAGACAGACAGAGAGAGAGACAGAAAGTGAGAAATCACCCCCCAGAGGGAATGGCCACTCTGCAATCCCTTTTCCTCCATTCTCCTCTTGAGATCTTGGGCATGCAATGCACACACCTGGCGTGAGCTTTAAGGCACCGGGTCCGGGACTCGAACTACGGTCGACTACATGGGAGTCCAGCGACATAGCCATTACGCCAACTGCTGGTCCCACCTTACCTCCCTTATTGAACCATTCAGGGTTTTTCTTGTTAGCCAATGATAATGTTGTAACAAATCCAGCTATAGGATTCCTGCAGCAGCAACCGGAAAATTCCACCTTTAACCAGGAAAAGCCAATTGGCCATGGATCTTGCAACCTCGAGACCAGAGGTGGCCTCCCCAGTCCAGGGCCTGCCACCTCTATGTCTAAGTCCCCACTTCTGCTCAGATTTTGTTACTTCTTAAGAAGTCCTATGACAATTCCAATGCAGTGGCAGGGCTGAGAAGCATAGTTTACTTTAAATGGGTCTATCATCACGTTGCCCTAGGTCTTGCTCCCCTTGTCTTACATGGGAAGAATAAACCCTACATCGTAAGCTCAAGTTATTAACTTCTGAATGAAGAGGAAACTACGTTAAACGCGATACCCAGAAACTGTAGAGATGGTACCTACTCACTAAAACCTCCTGATCTACAGATGGCAAAGGGCTTTTTATCCCCACCCCCATAAAAATGCTAACTTAACTATGAAATAAAGGCTTAGGATGATCATTTACCATGATGAATTCAATTGGGATAGGCACTGGAAGTTTGGCTTTGAAGCGCTGATTCACTTCTTTAACCGCAGACACAATCACTAGTATAATCAGGGATGTCACCAGGTCTGGAATATTAGTGTCCTTTATTTGTGTGACTATGGACTGTAGAACCTAGAAGAACAAAAAACACCGAAGTCCTACATTAATGTATAATTTAGGGACAATACGTATCTCCAAATAGATGAAAACAAACGTGGAAGCCACAGAACTGACATGGATTGATAGAGATTCTCTGTTCTGCTTGTCTTAACCATGGCTGTGAAATTATAGACTAGTTCTGAGGTTCGAGGATAAGTGAGCAAAGTGAAGATAATGCGCTGGCTTAGGGATGCTTCCAGCATTTTTTCTGGAAATCTATTTGGCTATTGTCAAGTTTTCTTGTATATCTTACTTTTTTTTTTTGTCTTTGCTATAGGGCATGTGCACTCCCTGGAGAGAGACAGAAAGGAAAAGTGAGAAATTACCCTGGGGGTGGGAGGTAGTGGCCATGCAGTAATTCCTTTTTCTCCATTCACCTCCTCAGATTTTGGGTACAAATGCACACATACCTGGTGTGATTCTCAGGCAGCCAGGTCTGGGACTTGAACCATGGTCAACCGTGTAGGAATACAACACCTTAACCACCACACCACCTGCTGGCTCCTAGTTTTTTACATTTATAACTGATTTCTCTTCTCTTTGGCCTCCTTTCTTATTTCACAGTCATCCCTACTTTTCTGTCCAGGGAGTAATTTCTAACCCCAGGTAGTTTTGGTTAGTTGTAAGCCCTGGGCTTGTTTAGGTTCAGCTCCCTCATGTTTCTGAGCTGACTCCCCAGGGCACTTTTGGAAAAGCAGTTTCTTGGCTAAGCCAGTTTCTCATGATACAGGCTGACAGACCTGGGGTGGATCACTGCGTCGAGACCCTGTGGAGAACTGTCTCTCTGTCTTTCTCTTGCTCTTGGGAGAAATAAGTAAATTTTAAAAAAGGATGTTGAGAAAAGTTGTAAAACTTGAGGAAAAAATAGTAAGACTTTTGATAATCAATGAGGGAGAAGTCTTCAAATAGTTCATGGAAAAATACATATGCTTAAAAAATTATGCGTGAAGTTCAATCACTTTTTTTACATCAAAATAAACTTTAATTCTACTTTCCACAAGTTTTTGAAGTCCCTTTGCACTGGACTTTTTTTCCCCTAAATATTTAATAGTCAAATCTAAGAGAAGTGTTACTTCATTTCTGTTCACATTAGCTGTGTGGTAGGGGTGATTGGTATTCAGTGCTCTCTTTTCTACTAACTTTTTCTTGATGTGAATACATTTTATAACTCACTGATTTCTTGGAAATTGTAGGTAAGCCTTGCCATGAGGGCATTAAAAGGAAGCTCCCCAAGAAACACAACAGTGAGTTCATGTAGTTTAATACTTTTTAAATGAAAGGAATACTTACTTTGAAAATGGAAAATGGATCCGTGTGTGGTGGGACTGTGAGCTGAAGCATGAATTTGAGTTGGGAAACCAAAACGTGAACAGCAGCTGCAGTGGTAAAGCCACTGATCAGGGACTCAGATAGATAGATCACTACAAATCCAATCTGCAGAACTCCCATAATCAACTGGAAAGAGGACAAAAGCCTTTGTTAGTGCAGATTAGGAATGCACCACAGCAAGCTCAAGGATCAGCAACTGAAATGATTCCAGTACAAAGGTTCCGTCTGCACATACATACCTCAGCAAGGCAGAGCTTCTGCCATCTGGAGAACCTTCCACGCAGGGTTCATCTTCCCCTTCCCTCCCATTCTACCCCTTATGTGGTGTTCAAATAGGATGCAAGTCTAGTATACCCAAAGAAGTAGCAGGCATAATCCCTCTCCTCCTTTATTTTTAGGTGTGGTGCCTTCAGAAGGCTCACGTATACACCTTTCATAGCAGAATCTTATCTAACATTAGACCTCATAAATTTACTGATGCAATTATTTTTTAAAATTTTTTCTTAAATTTTAAATTACTTTTAAAATTTGCTACAGGCTGCAGGTGCTCTTTGGAGAGAGATATATACATATCTAGAGAGAGGCAAAGTGACAAAGCACCTCCCAGGGAGATGGCCACATGGCAATCACTTCTCTATTTTCTTCGCAGGATTTTGGCATGCACAACATGCACTGAGCGTGTCTCCCAAGTCACCGGGGCTGGGACTTGAACTGCACAGTCCACCATTGGGATCCAGATGCTTCAACCATCACACCACCAGTTGGCCCAGGTTGATGTAATTCTAAGCTATGTTTTCTAGCTTCTATAGCATGCATGGGTGAGTATCCATATTCCTTCAAATGAGTTGTTCACCTTCCTTAAGAAATATGTAACTATTGGTGCCAGCAGTTGGCGTAATGGTTACGTTGTTGGACTCCCATGTAGTCAACTGTGGTTCCAGTCCTGGACCCGGTGGCTTAAAACTCATTCTGGGTGTATGTGCATGCATGCCTAAAATCCAAATCCTGAGAGCAGAATGGAGGAGAAGGCATTTTGGTGTGGCTATCCCCCTGGGAGGTGATTTCTTGCTTTCTGTCTCTGTCTCTCTTTGTCTCTAAGGTGAGAGCATGCATGCCATATAGAGAAAAATCTGTCTCTAAAAAAAAAAAAAAAAAAAAGAAAGTATACAACCACTATGTACTTGAATATCATAAGTACTTGGTTTTACCTGGAGGATCAGGGTGTTTAATTACCACCCACCTCCCCAAGCATTTTGTAATAAAGTGAATTGGAGGGCCAGCAGGTGGCATTGTAGTTAAGGTACATAGCTGATCATGGTTTGAGTTCAGGACCCAGTGGCTTGAAAATCACACAGATGTGTGTGCACATGTGCCCAAAATTCCAAGAGGAGACTGGAAGACAAGGGATTGTGTCATGGCCATCACCCTGGGGGGTGATTTCCCTCTCTCTCTCTGGGAAATGCATATACCCAATGGCAAAAACCTAAAAAACCAAGAGAGAATTGGATAGATTATTAATCTCTTTTACATGTGGCCTGTCTTCCTATTCATGTCTCCAGAATGCAGCCAGACCTGTAGGTACACAAAGTCCAGTTGTATTCCACTTCTGTACCACATTCAGAAATGTATTAGAAACAACTGACCACGTTGTCATTAGAACACACACTTATGTTCTTGTAGAAACTTTTTCTCTCTTCAATAAATTATCTTCACCAATGATATCACTGACAATAAACTTAGGCAATGCTGTGATGTGAAAAGTCCATTACATTTTCACTGTTCAGCAGCAGTGTCAGGGGTATGGCTTGGGAGTGAGGATTTAGACTCCATGATAATCCTCTTCAGCTCTTCCCCAATCTTCGATATGAACAGTTCAAAGTGTAAAGTCTCCATCCCTTCCAACTATATTATAGTTGCTGACGAATTAGAAAGAAAAAAAAGTTCCAAAGCCACAAGTGTCACTGTTACTTTAATAGACAGTTATGTGTCACTTACTAGGGCTCCTTCTGAGAAATGCATCATTACGCAATTGACTGTCATTGTGTGAGCATCACAGATTGTGTTTACACAAATCTGGAAGGTATAGCCTACTATACACCTAGGCTATACAATATGGCCACTTGTACTATTTTTTTTTTTAATTTGCCAGAGGTTGAATATACTTACCCGAGAGAGACAAAGAGACAGCGAGAGTGGGAAAGTGAAAAAGATCCCTCCATGGGGCATGGTCATAGACCATGAGCTGACTCTGGTCTATAATAATTTTAAGAGGCTAGCATCACATAAGTTGTCTGCTGTCCACTGAAACATCATTATGTGGCTTGTGACCATAGTTACTCGATTGTAGTAGTTCCTAAGTATTTGTTTCTAATTTGCCTGAGGGCACATGTGCTCACCAGGGGAACATGAGAGAGAGAGCGCGAAAGTGAGAAAGTTATCTCCTAGAGAGAATGTTCATGCTGCAATCCTCCTCCATTTCTCCCTCCTTTTGGGATTTCAAGCATACACATACACACACATACACACACACACACACACACACACACGCACACACTGTGTGTTTTTCAAACACACACAGTTCAGGACTTGGCCACATGGGATCCAGTTGCCTTAACCACCATGCAATGGCTGGCCCTCCCAGGAATTTATTTGAATTAAGCATTTCACTCCTCACCACTGGTGCCTCCCTGTTCTCATTTTTCCTTCCAGCTAGACTCACATTCATTCAGTTTTGCAACATGGATCTGCCCTCCACCTTGAGTTGTGATGTGTGATCCTTCTTAGATGATTTTTTATGGGCCGCCCATGGAGGGATACAAATCAAAGGAAAGAGAGGCAAGATAAGAGAAAAACCAGAAAAATGCTTGCCAGTCAGACAAGCAAGCTGGTAGCTTACAGGAATAAGTAAGTGCTCACCTGGATGAGCCCACAAAGGATCGTGATTGTCGCAGCCACCGTCACCTTCTCCTCCATCGACACTGAAGCATTACTCACTGTGCTGTCAGAGGAGTTGGTGGTAGTGACATGGAGTGTGCTGGCTACATTTTCAACTGCTAGTCCCAACATCATACTCAGGACTGGAAATGGACCTGATTAGCAGAGGGTGAATTGTGGTCACTACGTGTCTTCCTGGTATATAATGGTCTTTCAACCACAGGGCAGTGTAGAAAAAAACCATCTGTCACTTTACCCTTCTTCCCAAATCCCAGGCCTAAATATTTTTTTAAGTCTTTCTTTAAAGAATTCTTTCTTTCTCTTTCTCTCTCTCTTTCTTTCTTTTTCTTTCTTTCTTTCTTTCTTTCTTTCTTTCTTTCTTTCTTTTTCTTTTTCTTTCTTTCTTCTATGAATGAGTCAGAGAGATAGCACCCCTGAAAGGGTCTCGATTCAGCAATCCACCCCAAACCTCAGCTAACCCCTGATCTGGGCATACATGCTCCTGCATACTTAGCGAAGGAGGTCTCCAGATTTGAACCTAGACATTCCCCGATGGGTCAGTTTGATAGACTGTTGCACTTTGCTGGTTCACGGTCAGGCTTCCTCCTTTTTAATATAATTCATAAAGAAAAAGCAATGTGAACATTAAGTAGCCCAGAAACAAACTTACCCACAGATATGTGTCTAGAAGTGCCAAAGAAAAGGTACACAATAACTGGGAAAAAGGCTGCATACAAGCCATAGCTTGGGGGAATGTTGACCAGGAGAGCAAACGCCAAACCTGTAAGCACATAACAGCAGTGTTCTTGTTTTGTGCAAGAAGAGTCATAGATGTTCTCATTAGGTTCTTCTGGAGTGAAAGATCCCTTAAAAACGAGTTACCTTATTAACCCAAAATATATCAAAAATGTAAATGTGAAAACTAAAACTATAAAACTCTGAAGAAAACGTAAGTATAAATCTCTGTGACCTTGGATTAGGGCATTGTCTCTTAGAAATGACACCTATGGTATAAGCAATCTAAAAAGAAAGAAAAGAAAAGAAAACACAGATAAATTGGACTTTATCATTCAATTCTTCAAAATTAAAAAGTATTTACTTCAGGACCAGCGGATGGCAGAATGGTTACATGGCTGTACTTCCACATAATTGACTGTGGTTCAAGTCCCAGACCCAGTGTCTTAAAACTCATGCTAGGCAAATGTACATGCCTGCCCAAAATCCTGAGAGGAGAATGGAGGAGAAGGGATTGTGATGTGGCCATCCCCTCCTGGGGGGGCGATTTCTCCCTTTCTGTCTCTTTGGCGAGCTCATGTGCCCTATAGCAAAAAAATCTCTCTTTAAAAAAATTAAAAATTGGCACCAGCAGTTGGTGTAATGACTATGTCGCTGGACTCTCACGTAGTTGACCGCAGTTCGAGTCCTGGACCCAGCGGCTTAAACTCATGCCGGGCACATGTGTGTGAGTGCCCAAGATCCCGAGAGGAGAATGGAGGAGAAGGGATTGTGATGTGGCCATCCCCTCTGGGGGGCGATTTCTTGCTTTCTGTCTCTCTGTCTTTCCCTGTCTTTCTGGAGAGCAAATGCTCCCTATAGCAAAGACCTCTTTAAAAAAAAGAAAATTAAAAACTTCAGCAAAATGACAATTCAAAGAATGAAAGAAATTATTTGCAAATTTTATTTCAGAAAAAGATCTAAAATTTAAAATATATAATAACATTTGCAGTCAAATAATTAAAGACAAATAATTCAGTTCAAACATGAACAAAGGATTTGAGTTGACAATTCTTCAAAGATATACAAATGGCCATCAAGCACGAAAGAAGTTGCTTAACATCCTTAGTCATTAGACAAATACAAATCAAAGTCACAATGAGAAGTGTCACACCATCAAAACAGGTAAATAAAAGGTGAGCAAAAACAGGTGTTGAGGATGTGAAAAAATTAGAATCCTCATGCACTGCCAGTGGGAATGCAAACTGCTGCAGCTACATTAGAAAATAATTCAGTAGGGCCAGCACTTGGCGTAGTGATTAAAACGCTGGACTCTCATATGACTGATGGCCATTCCGGTCCTGAACCTGGTGACTTGAAACTCATACCAGGCATATGTGCATGTGTGCCTAAATTCCAGGACAAGCATGGAGGAGAAGAGATTGTGGAGTGGCTATGCCCCTCCCCGGAGGGTGGTGATTTCTCACTTTCTCACTGTCTCTCTCTGTTTCTCTCCAGAGAGTGCATATGCCCTATGGCAAAAACCTTTTTATAAAGAAAAGAATTTGGCATTCTACAAATGATTAAACATAGAGTTACCATATAGCCCAGAAATTGTGCTTTTAGGGATAGACTCAATAAAATTAAAATATATGTTTACACAACAACATGTACACAGGACTAGCAGGTTGTGTGGAGTTGTTAAGGCAACTGGATCCTTTATGGCTGATTCTGTGAGTTGAGTCTTGTATCCGGTGGCTTGAAAATCACAGTAGGTGTGTCTGCATACATAGCCAAAAATCTGAGAGCAGAGTGAAGGAAGAGGGATTGTGGCATGCCCATCTCACCTAAGAGATTAACTCTCACTTTCCATCTCTTTCTCTCTCTCTGGCAAGTACACATGCCCTATGACAAAGCTAAAAAGAAAAAGAAAATAAAAAACCCTGTGCACAAATGTGGAGGATAGCATTATTTGTAATAGCCTCAAAGTGGAAACAACTTAAATGTCCATCAACTGATGACTGGATAAACAAATTGTGGTATAGCCCTATGATAGAATTTTTTTGTCTGTAAAATGCAGTGAGATGCTATTACATGCTACAATATAGACAAACCCTGAAAACAGTATGCTAAGTGAGAGAAAACAAGTACAAAGTGCCACAAGTTGTATAATTTCATTAATATGAAATACCCAGCTTCCAGGCAAATGCACAGACAGAAAGTTATTGCCAAAGGGGTGGGAGAAGTGGAGACTGAAATGACTCTTAATGCATTATCGATTCGGGGGAGTAGCCATAGTGAAAACATTCTGGAATCAGGTAGTGATGATAAGACATACAATCAGTGAATATACTAAAACCCAGCCAACTGTACACATTGAAAGGGTGAATTTTATGATATGTGAATTGTCTTTTGAAAAAGTTACCTTGCAGTACAGCCACCAGCCCTGTGCTGATACCAGAAACAATGTCACTGAGCAGCCATTTCTGTAGCTGATATGCTGGTAACCAAGATGCTATGGGGAATAGAGACAGGGCAATTTTCTTGGCCTTTTGTGGGGAGCAGCTAAAAACATGGAAAGACACAGGTCAGTCAATTAATATCAAATTTTAAATGTAGTACCTAATTGTAGGTGGGAAATTGGTAAAGGTGGCAACATATTACAAAATCACCTAGCAACTGCATTTTCATTAACATTCATCTCTTTACCCATAATTATTGCCCCCTGGCCACCACCCAAATATTATTTTTATAGAAAAGTTCCTGCTCATCTTTAGCCGTAACAGAGCCCATGTGTCACCCACAGCTTGCCTATGCAGCATTTCAGTTAAGAACCTGCCTCTGCCCCCATCTGTTTGTTGTGTGACTTAGACTATGTTGATCGCTGCAATGGGGTTCATTTTAGACACTGCCTTCTGACTCTGGCAGGGAGTAGGAGGAGGTTTGGAAACTCTAGATGAAAAGACGCCGTAACTTATGGACTAGAGCCAGAAAGAAGAGCTTGAAAGTTCGAATATTTAAGAGAAAGTGCTTCCTTTATTCCTATTGCCAGAACCTTAAAAGATATCTTACCGACAACAGTGCTTGAGATGATCCAGAAATGTCTTGTGATATCTGTCTTTCTTCTTATGTTCTTCTGCAAAAGTATTCACAGAATACACTGGCCGGGCCACAACGTACTGATTCCCGATGGGTTCAATCATGTTGCCTCCTCTGGTGGCTGAGGCAAGTGGAAGACCTTTGGAACTAGGTGTAGAGCACTTCTTGCTTTTAGCAGGGTAAAAATGCCTGAAACCGAACAGAGCTTGCTTCTTAAATAACTCAGAGATAATGTGATGCAATTTACAGATGAGTGAGCTCCGAACTGAATGTTACCACCTTTTGAGATCAAAAGAGGCAGGATTCAGGGACCTAGATTGGGTTTTGCGACAGTGCTATCTATCACTTTTAAACTTCAATGAGTCAAACGTGCCTCCTTGGGGTAGGTAAACAAGAGCTTTTATTTGATTTCTTTTTCAAGATTGCCACAAAGCAATAAAAATGGACTCTGTTTACTAACCAGTAAAGCCATTTTTCACTTGTAAAGTGAAAGTTTCTCATCAGTTTTTTTTTTTTTTCCCCTAGAAATATTTCCAAAGGTATGGCACGGCAGTACTAAGAGATTTTTTTGCCCCAACCTCCAGTCAAAGCTGTTCCAATTTACCCATTAGACTTTCTATATGACCTAATAAAATGCTTTTAATTTGTGAAGTGCAGGACATTGCCCATTTAAGTTATTCTCTAGTTTTTTTCTGGGCTTAGAGTTTTATTGTTTTTAGTTGAAGAATCTACGGCACAAATGAATCATTGTTAGGTTATTTAGTTCATGAGTAATAAGCTCTTTTTTTTAAAAAAAAAAGTATTCTCCACCTTTACAGTATTTATTTATTTATTGAGTGAGTGAGTGAGTGAGAGAGAGAGAGAGTAAAAGAGAGAGAGACAGGTATTGTTGACAGGTCTTCCGGCTGTAATAATCCTCCTCCCAGCCGAAGATCACCAATGTGCCCACTCCATCCCATGTGTTCAGGTATACCTGGGAAGTGAACCAGGAGCCCTTCTATATGACCCCCCCGTGACCCGGGGCCCCTTCTTATTTCCCCCCCCCCCCCAGCATCATGCCATGGTACCCCAACCACCTGTACCAATACTACCACCACTACTGACTGCTATGAAGGTGTGCTGAAATAGATATTTTTGACAAGTTCTCCCAATTTTGACGACCTTTCCCTGTTAGCTACGATTACAGGTGCATGCTCCCTAGGACCAGCAGTTAGCGTAATAGCTATGTCGCTGGACTCCTATGTAGTCGACCGCGGTTCGCGTCCCGAACCCAGTGGCTTAAAAAACTCACGCCGGGCGCGTGTGCTTGAGTGCCTAAGATCCCAAGAGAATGGAGGAGAAGGGATTGCAGCGTGGTCATCCCCCCTGGGGGGTGATTTCTCGCTTTCTATCTCTCTGTCTCTGTCTGTCTGGCGAGCGCACGCGCCCTATAGCAAAAACTTCTCCAAAAACAAACAAACAAACAAAAAAACAGGTGCATGCTCCCATGCCCAGCCTGTTTAAGTTGATCTAGGACCCAAACACTGGTCTCCCAAGTAGCCCCAGCCTTGTGCAGCTGTGCTCCACACCCTGTTCCAGCACAGCTAGGCTGATGAAGTCTTTCTTAAGGAAAGATATTGGGCAAGGTAATTGAATCTTTTGGAACCTCCCTGCTCTAACTGGGATAACAATGCCAAGTTTCAGACTGTGAAGACGGAATGAGAATGTGTTCCCAGTATCTGGCATTATGCCTGCACATGATAGTCATTCACTAAATGGTAGTTATTATTTTAACTATTAGCATTTTCTACACAAGTTGTTTAATTTTTTTATTCTTATCTCAATTTTATATCTCATACTTTAATCAATTTGGGTGTGTGCTCGCCAGAGACACAGAGAGAAACAGAGACAGAAAGTGAGAAATCACCCTCAAGAGAGGATGGCCAGGCCTCAATCCATTCTCCTCCATTCTGTTCTTGGGATTTTGGGCATGCACAACACACATGCACCCAGTGTGAGTTTTAAGCTACCGGGTTTGGGACTCGGACCTTGGTTGGCTACGTGGGAGTCCAGCAATGTAACCATTCCGCCATCTGCTGGTCACTTGACAAAATATTTTTATGTACATTACCAGTTTAATCTTCACAATTCTTTCAGGTTCTCACCATTATCATTGTCATTATTATTACTTTTATTTTTCTCTTCTTCCAAATGAGAAAATAGTTGTACACATCACAAGGAGTGTGTACTCCAACCCCTGCCAAAATTGACATTCTATTTCTCAGGTCATAAAGCCGGTAGAGTGTCAAAAATGGGACTGCCATTTTCAAACTTCTTTGTTATTTCTTCTATTAAATACAGCATCACTATTGTCCAATATGAACATAATTAAAGAATGTCTCAGTTGCTAGCATTTTCCCTTCCAGTCTTGGTTCTGTAATTACCATAGTGCCCTGAATTTGTTCCCTGATTTTAATCATAGCGATTAATTAAATTTTCTTATTTTAGCCTGTGTCTTTATCTTGTGACATGGTGTTTTTTCATACCTCAAAGTGATGTTCAGCAATTAAAAAAGAATTTCTTTCATGAGAGTGAGAGGGAGGAAGAGAGAGAGACAAGCATCTTCAACAGGGTCTTACACTGTGATCTGGCCCCAACCTTTCCAGCCACCAGGATCATGTACTTGATGTGGACAAGTCCACAGGGAAACAGAGCCTGCAGTATTCCATATGGACCCAGGGTCTCTTGAGTAGCACCTTACCCCTGTGCCACTAAGCCCCCACTTTTTTTTTTTTTCCACCATGTATGAGAAGAGCTCAAGTTATTACCAAGAATCAGATGCTGGCTAAAAATTCTGGGCCTTACCTGGACTCTCTTTGAGCACCTATTTCTCTCCTCACCACACTGCCTCATCTCCTCTAACGTCCTTCGTACTAGCCTCCTCTGGCCCCGATGCTCCTGTACCACCGTCTGGCATAGTCCTAGAATTTGAGTATCTTTGAGCTTGGTTCTGACTTTCAGATCTTCCTTTGCTATTGTTTTTGAGTCTCCCCACCCTCCCCTCTGCCTCCTTTCTGTATGCCCTTGGCTCTCTACCTGCAGTTCCTGGTGTCATGCCCCACCCGCTATGTAATTTTTCTCATTTTCGGCGTATGCTCATGAAGAGGAGCTCATTCTCATTGGTGTGCATAGCATAGCCTTTTGCCTATTTTTATTAATTAATTAATTATTTTATTTATTGTCAATGATCAGCAATGTGGTTGGGGCATTAGCCTTTAAGATCAAATGCATGGTCAGTAACTCCTGACATCATGGATTTCTTGCAAAGACTGTCTGGAGTGTCTTTCAAGAACAGCTTTAATCCTGTGAACAATCCAGCCTTGCCAATTTTAGGATACAAAAGACTCAAGTGTTACATATTTTTACTTTTGTCAGATGGTGTCATGGATAGGAAATTAAAAAATTCTGTTATTCAGTTGCTGTACTCACATTTTCAACAAAGAGTTCACAAACACTCATTAGTTTTTTCCTCAGAAAAAGACCCTAAGAAGTCTTTTTTAAAAATAATAACTTGCCAGAGAGAGCATACGTTCTCCAGAGAAAGAACAGAGAGACAGAGAGGGAGAGGGAGAAAGCATGATCTTGCCACTGTCCTTTCCCCTGCATTTGATCACCTGGTTGGGATCTTGGGCATTTGCTCACACACAGTCAGTGTGTGTTTCAAGTTCCTGGCATCAGGATACAAATGACCTGGTCAGCTAAAGGGGATCTGACTCTCTTGACCACTAGGTCACAGGGCTGGCTCCTAAAGGCACTTTTCTTCCTTTAGCTGTTCTAGGTAGGGATGGGAGCAAGAGAAGACAGACTAGACTGTGGCCCTCCAGATCTTTCTCTAACTTCTGCAAAGATTTCTTAAGCTGTCCTACTTCCTGCCCTTGAGCATGCCCCTTGTAAGCAGTACTTGGTGTGAGCAGGAGGCTTTCTCAGTTGGCAGCAGGATGGCCAGAGTCAGCCTCTTGATCCAATCAGAGGTACGAGGGAAATCACTAAAAAGCCAGCCTTGCCACCGTCTGGCCTCTAGTTTCTCAATTTAACTATTCTGGTTTATTAATATCTTTTGGATAATTCTAGGGCTTGTCATGCACTCACCCCTCTCACGCCCCTCCAAGTTTCGTTCATTTTGAATCTGTAACCTACACACTGAGTGTCACCCCTGGCCTCCGGTTTCTGGGATCCTCTACCCCACTGATCCCACTGCACTGAGAAGTGTCTGATGACCTTGAATTTTCCACCCCTTATCATTCATCGACTACACGTTCTAATCCTTTAGGGTCTGTTCTTTCTGCTGGGAAAGAAGTAATTTGAACCAGATGCTCACAAGCAGTGCTAGGATTTGTCTTTAAATAGTGGTTGTTTTTTTTTTTTTTTTGGAGAGGTTTTCGCTATCGGGCGCATGCCCTCGCCAGACAGAGACAGAAAGCGAGAAATCACCCCCCACCACCACCCCCCCCAGGGGGGATGGCCACGCAGCAATCCCTTCTCCTCCATTCTCCTTTCGGGATCTTGGGCACACACGCACACGCGCCTGGCATGAGTTTTAAGCCACCCGATCCGGACGCAAACCGCGGTAGGCTACGTGGGAGTCCAGCGACATAGCCATTACGCTAACTGCTGGTCCCTAAATAGTGGTATTTTGAAACCAACTAGGAGAGAGACAGGTGTGTGGAGCATTTCCCAGTCCCTCCTTAATCACATCAGAGGCTTCAACTCTTGCACAAGCAACTCTCAATGACACCACCCCTCAATACTACACGAGGAGCGTCTTCACAGATACCACCGCAAATGCCGTACTATGCTGAAATCTGCAGAAAACACTACTCCTTCATGGATCTCAAAATACCCCTAGGCCAGTCAGTGAAAACCAGAGGTAAGCCAGTCCTGTTTCAGAATTTGTCCTTGGACAATGGGAAACAGCAGTGTCCTGATAACCACTGGGGGTGTGGCTGAGAGATGGGAGAACAAGCAGAGCGATTGCTCAGTGACCACCTTGAGACGGATCCAAACCAGCCAAGAGGAGCCAGATACAAGGACACAAAGAGCCCCACATTCGGGTTGGTTCAAACTGGGTGGCAGCAAGGAGATGAGGGTGTCAGAATCACAGAGAACCAGAGTGCTGGTTAGGAGTAATTGGTGGG